GAAAGCGAGAGGTTACGGTACATATCATTAAATCAAACTAAACTAAGAGCAGAGAATTACATCCATCTTCAAGACGCTGTGGCAAATGACGCTAATTTAAATCCAAATAACTTAGGTCGTATGGTCATTTTACCATCTTCATTTGTAAATAGCCCGCGGTACTTACACGAATATACTCAGGACGCGTTTGTTTATGTGCGTACACATGGTCGCCCTGACTTATTCGTCACCTTTACTTGCAACCCAGCCTGGCCAGAAATAGTCAATCAGTTGATGCCGGGGCAAAGCGCAATAGATAGACATGATGTAGTCGCAAGAGTTTTTAGACTAAAAGTTAAAAAACTAATGGATGTGATTAATAAAGGCCGAGTGTTCAGAGAAGTGCGCTGCTTTATGTACTCTGTCGAATGGCAGAAACGTGGACTGCCACATGTCCATATATTATTGTGGTTAAAAGATAAGTTACGACCCGATCAAATAGATAACATAATCAGCGCTGAAATACCGGATCCTAACATTGACAAGACTCTCCATGACATTATTGTAAAAAATATGATTCACGGTCCATGCGGACCCGAAAATCCACAGTGCCACTGCATGAAAGACGGAAAATGCACAAAAAAATTTCCTCGCAAGTTAGTGAAAGAGACCGTTCACAACGACCACGGATACCCGCAGTATCGTAGAAGAGCGCCAGCAGACGGAGGTCGAACAGCAACCGTGAAGCTCCGAAATGGTAGCTACGTTACGGTTGATAATAGTTGGGTAGTCCCCTATTCACCAATTTTATCAAAAATGTTTAACGCCCACATAAATGTTGAGGCATGCAGTTCAGTACGCGCCATCAAATATATTTGCAAATATATAAACAAGGGTAGTGATCAAGCTATTTTCAATTTTAGAAATACTGATCTTGTGAATCCCGTAGATGAGGTACAAACTTATCAGTCTGGTCGGTATGTCAGCAGCAACGAAGCCGTGTGGCGTCTGTTAGCATTTCCGTTGCACGAAAGGCATCCCACCGTGACACATCTCAGCGTGCATTTAGAAAATGGTGAACGCGTTTATTTTAATGAACACAATTTCCACGAACGAATAACTACTCCGCCAAAAACCACACTCACTGCTTTTTTTGATCTTTGTATCAGAGATGAGTTTGCAAAAACTCTTCTTTATGTCGAGGTGCCGAGGTATTATACTTGGGATGCAAGTAGGAAAACTTGGAAACGCCGCATTCAAGGTACTTCAGTTCACGATTGGCCTGGCGTCAAATCTGGAGATGCTTTAGGACGAGTTTATACAGTTCATGTTAGTAACATGGAATGTTTTTGTCTACGCATGCTTTTACACCATGTGCGCGGACCTACCTCTTTCAATGATCTAAAAAAATACAACACACAAGATTATCCTACATTTCGAGAGGCATGTGAGGCAAGAGGATTACTGGAGAATGACAACCATTGGGATGTGACACTGGAAGAAGCTGCTCAATGTAGATCAGCAGGCAAGATGAGAGAGCTATTTGCTGTATTAGTAGCGACATGTGGTCTTTCAAATCCTCAACAATTGTGGGATAAATACAAAAATGATATGACCGACGATATATTGCACAGATTACAAGAGCAAAATCCCAATGTCACGTACAGTGATTTAATTTACAATGAGGGTTTGACAAAAATTGAAGACCAGGTTAAAACAATTTCTGGAAAGGATTTATCAAATCAGTAGCGATTTAATACGGGAACTAGATTACGATACTGCTTCCTTACAACAACAATTGACAGAGTCTGTTCCACGTTTGATCCCAGAACAAAGGTTAGTATTTGACAATGTTTTCAAAAAAAATCGAAGATGGCGAAGGTGGTTTGTTATTTTTGGATGCTCCCGGAGGCACGGGAAAAACCTTTCTTTTAAACTTGCTTTTAGCGCAAATCCGAAAAGATAAAGGAATTGCTGTAGCAGTTGCCTCTTCCGGAATAGCCGCCACTCTGCTCAATGGTGGTCGAACGGCACATTCGGTGCTTAAACTGCCATTAAACTTAGCCCATGAAGAAATGCCAGTCTGTAATATAAGTAAAAACAGCGAGCGTGGACGTATGTTGCAGCAATGTAAATTATTAGTTTGGGATGAGTGTACTATGTCCCATAAAAGAGCAATTGAAGCTCTAGATCGGACTTTGAAAGACATCAAGAGTAATCCAAATATCATGGGGGGGGATGGTGGTACTTTTAGCGGGCGATTTTAGACAGACTTTGCCGGTTATCACTAAAGGCACCCCTGCAGATGAAATAAATGCGTGTTTAAAAGCGTCAACGTTATGGGTGCACGTAAAAACGTTTAGTCTGTCTACAAATATGAGAGTGCAACTACACAATGATGTACAATCTGGACATTATGCTGCTGCTCTTCTTAAAATTGGAGAAGATCGTATGGCAAAGGATGGTAATGGCATGATTACATTGGATCGTGAATTCTGCAATGTTGTGCATAATCCAGATGATCTAAATAACTTCGTCTATAGCGAACTGCTAACTAATATGAGGAATAGAGACTGGTTATGTGAAAGAGCAATTTTAGCGCCGACGAATGAAATGGTGGGACAGATAAACGAGCAAATTATGTCACGCGTGGAAGGTGATATTGTTGAGTTTCTCTCTGTAGACACTGTAATGGATACTGAACAAGTAACATCATACCCTGTAGAATTTCTTAATTCTTTAGAACTGTCGGGAGTACCTTCACACAAACTGAGGCTGAAAGTAGGCGTTCCTGTCCTTTTAATGCGGAGTTTAGATGCACCAAGACTGTGTAATGGCACACGGTTGCAAGTGACACACCTCGGTCGCAATATTGTAAAAGCAATCATTATGACTGGAATGGCAAAAGGAGAGAACGTTTTAATCCCCCGTATACCCATAATTCCGACAGATTTGCCATTCCAGTTTAAGAGATTACAGTTTCCGCTGAAAATCGCATTCGCTATGACGATAAATAAAGCTCAGGGGCAAACATTAAAAGTAGCCGGCATTAATTTAGAAAAAGAGTTGTTTTTCTCACGGACAATTATACGTGGCTTGCTCACGTGTTTCAAGTCCACAGAATCTCCACGTGTTGGCCAGAGAGGGAAAAACAAAGAACATAGTTTACAAAAATGTACTACAGTAATAAGGCCTCTTATTGTTAGCTTCCTACATTATTATACTACTTACATTAAGTTAGTACTTCCTACGCAGACGATGTTACGGATGTCACACTGTCTAACATCGGGGGTTGGCAGGTAGGTAGTTAGTAGTATTTTAAACCGATTTACATTATTTACTTTTTATATTTACTAAGGAAACATTCGGAGCTATCCATTATGTAGCTTAGGTTGCTTTTGAACAAATTTTGATGTGAAGTTGAGGACTGGAACACGATAGTGGGACATTGTTGCAGGGGGACTTATAGCCGGGAGAAAACAAAAAAACTTATGCGGACGAAGTCGCGGGTAAAAGCTAGTAACATATATTTGTTTTCCAATATAATGTGCTTAACAAAATCGATATGACAAATTAGATAATAATTTAGCATAATACATTACAAAACACTAAGGTCCTATACAGACTAATTAGTTTCTATATCAAAACAGAGTAAACCAGCTAAAATAGGTGGTAGCATTCTTTCTGTCTGAGAATCTGTCCGGGTTTGTGCAATCCTAATATATCCGCCATCCAGTGCAATCCAGGCATTTTACGCGACTGCCCCAGGATGTAATATTCAGGCAACTTCAAAAAGGAAAAGCTATGATATCTTTGTCAAATAGAAACTGATTTCGATGATTGCAAATTTAGAGAAAAAAAATCCTAAATACGGGGATGAATTTTTATATCTCTCTTAGTTTACTCAAAGAACATGTATGTATTTTTATTGTTATTAGATGGTTCACCAACCCACATGTAGGTATTGCCATGTTTCCCCATTTAATTGTCTTTAAATAATTCTCTAAAAATAATTACATGAACATAATCATATCACGGTGCTTAAAAGCACCCTCAAAGATCGGACATGGATTTTTTATATACAGTATTTTTCACAATCGTATCTTAGACGCACCTACCTGTCACTATTCTGAATAGTTTATGTCTGGCTTAATTGAGATGGTAACACCACTATCTGACGGAATCCTTAAAAACGTTCCGGTATTTTTCATCATCATCATCATCATTATCATTATTACTGATTATCACAAATCTCCCAAAGAATGCCACAAGGCACGATCCTGAGCCACCTGCATCCATCCACTTCCTGCATATCCTATTAGGTTGTACATATCCTATCAGGTGATGACATATGGAATTGGATATGAACCGTGGCAGTTTCTCACTAAACGTAAATCATAATGAGATTACAGTAACAGCCTAGCAAAGTCTACTGCTGAGCTTAGGCATCGTAGGGGGGTATTTGTCAAAGTTGCCGCAATCTTTTTTAAAGTTGTAGCTCTTACGACACCCAGGGCATGATATGGAGGTAGTTGATACTATTACATCGTTACTACACGGTCAATGAGGGCATCAACGACTTTTTCTGCCACAACGGCGGCACCACTTTGTAAGGAGGTGAAATATTTGATAGATTTCATGGCGGGGAAGTAAATGTGATAGGAAAAAGTAAGGATTAATGCCTCTTTCTGCAATATTCGTTATATTTCGTATTAATTACATTAGAAATGAATAAACCAAACTATGGACATCCCTAAAAGTAGAAAAATTACTAAATTCTCAATTGAAATTTAAAATTGAATTGAAACTTTTATTTAAAACATTGTATAACAAAAAAACTTCACCTCAGTCCAAACTAACGACATCTGGTTAGCGGAAGTTTATTGGCCCTCATTAATGAGATTGGCGTTACATATATAGAAACACATTCTCTCACTTTATACTATTATATATTATTATATGTATAGATAACCACAGTTTTTATCATTTTCTTAACATAATAACACGGTTGTGGGTCATCGTTATTGAGCTCTTTGATTATACCTGAAACAAAAATAAATTATTAATACCTCGAAACTCGCAAAATAGATTGTACAGCCAGTGTGTTTTGCCCGTGATGACTTACGGATCTGAGACGTGGTCTTTCAATGTTGGCCGTATGAGGAAGCTCAAGGTCGCTCATCAAGCTATGGAGAGAGCTTTGCTCGGGGTTCCTCTGTGTGATGAACTTATAAATGAGTATATCCGCAATAGAATCAGAGTAACCGACATAGCCTAACGGATTAGTAAGCTAAAGTGGCAATGGGCCGGTCATATAGCTCGAAGAACCGACAACCGATGGGGAAGAAAGGTTCTCGAGTGGCAGCCTCGTACTGGTAGGCGTAGTGTAGGACGACCCCCCCTAGATGGAGTGATGACCTGGTAAGACATGCAGGAAGTCGATGGATGCAGGTGGCTCAAGACCACGGTTTGTGGCATTCCTTGGGGGAGGCCTATGCTCAGCAGTGGACTTGTGAAGCTTCCTCTTTCAACGCTGGATGACGTCTTCGTTACTACCGCTCTTGGTAAGGTCACCCTCTCACTGCGGCCACGACACCTTTAGCTGTCCAAACCCCTGATCAGCCTTATGAGTCTGCTTGACTGGCAGTGAGAGAAACCCATCATCTAACCCTGACATCCTGTCTCTGCCCGTCTGTTACCTTAGGTCTCATGGTACAGACATCCCGCATTTATCATATTTACGTATGTATGTATATTTACATATATGGTAGGGCTCGGGTATTGGGGACCGCTAGGGACTGCTAGGTATAGAAACTTAGTAAGGGTCTGTAGGGTCTAATACTCCTACTATATTCATGTACAACCAGGTAGTCAAGCTATCGAAGGAAAACCAGATTAATACTTAAATAAATAACTACCTGACTGTACAAACGACTATCATTTCATACCAACGAAATTAAACAACCCTGTAGTGCTGGAGTAATAATATCCACTACCCCATAACATGCTGAGGATGTCGTAAGGGAGAATCATCATCGTCATTAAAGCCCTTCACCACGACTGAACAAAGGCCTCCCCGAAAGTTATGTCACAAAGCTCGGTCCCCATCCACCTGCATTAATCAACTTCATGCATGTTTTATCAGATCGCTTCTCCAATTAGTGGAGGTAGGAAGCTGTCACTCGAGAATATTTCTGCCGCATCGGTTGTCGGCTATGTATGTTACTCTGTTAATTTGCAGTATAATGTACTACAAAGTGATTCTAATTATCAACAAAATGAGAGAAAAGGAATGCAGATACGTGTCGTCAGTTATGACGAATGGTCGAATGAGAAAGTTTGGTCCGTCACGAGCCAGCTCTGGACAGGGCTACTCTCAGAGTTTCTGTGTTAGAATCCGTAACAACGATATCCGTAATAATACCCTGGTTCTAAAGCGAATATCCTCGTTATGCATTGTAACACGGATATAATCAGGGTATTTTAATAGTGTAATTTTTTTTAAATCTGTAAGCTGAGGTTGTAATCACCACATACACATAACTCGAAAAGCCAAAAAAATATGGAGATTATACTTTCTCAAGTGACAGTTTCATACCAGTGACGTCAACCTGGTAAAACTTACCTACACTTTGAGAAAGTAGTTTGTTCAGAATCGTTGACTGAATCGATTCCTATCATTTTTAATATACTTAGGTAATTTTTTAACCCAAAAATAATTAAAACCACATAAATTACAGTCACACTAAATCTGTACAAATCTGTACAAATGAACTGTAACTTAAGGCAATAAGACTTTTAAGAGTGCAGTTTTATTTGTATTATTACTAATTCTGTCATTCAATAAAAATAAAGAAAAATGAACTTAATTCCAATCATGTTAAAGTCTTTGAATTCGTGGATTTGTACTGTGACCACAACATTCTTCCGGAATTAGTATAACGAATTTGATAAATAATCAGTGCATAAAAATGTTTAACTAAAATTCAGTGTATGTATTATGATTATAACATAATATACTAATAGGGGGTGTCTGAGGGTGTGCGTTAATTATATAACATATTTGTATATATATATATATATATATATATATATATATATATATATATATATATGAGGGGTATAGTTTCCAAAACCGCATAATCCATTTTTTTCAAGTAGCAACATTTTTATACGTATAGTAACTCCATATTTTATAATACAGGTTAGTGTTTAGTTGACCGATCAAAAGTAACTTTGTCCAATAGAAATTAAAGGTCAAAATATAATGGATGAATCAAAATCAGCAAAGTCCTAACCCAGTTAATTTAAAATCAGCATTGTCAATTCGGCCAATTAGATGCCACCGTGTTATGTCAAAACAGTATGGCGTGAGCCGGTGTAAGAGTCGATTTGGTAAAGGTGCATATTAAATATAAGTAAATAATTTAAATAGTACACGTGTAAATTTAATAATCAAAGTGCATAAATTCCAACAATGGATAAATCACCAATAGTTGTCCAACGAATTAGAGCAAGAAAAAGACTTAGTGATAAAAATAAATGGAAAAGAAATGTGGCGAAATTAGAGCGGTAAGTTAAGTTGTATTTACTGATTTTGATCCTTACAACTTATGTACCTACTTATGTTTTGTTGATGTCGGTAAAATACAGATTCTATTTGTAAGCGCTTTTACGTGATCTTTTAATAATAACAATTATAATAAATTAGTTCATATTACATGTGTATAGATATTTATATTGAATATGTAGGTACTACGAATACCACAAAGACAAGCTCACGGGCGTACTTTTAACGAGATCGTCAGTGATCTTCTCTTGTGAAACGTAATACATTAAAGTATACTCAAGTTTCTTATCTGTGTGTAATTTAATAATATATGTATAATGAGATTAATAATGTTTGTTACTATATTTTTTTATAGTTTGATGTTTTATTTTTCAGATACTCTGCAAAGAGCTTACCAGATCATCCAAATTGTATTCACAAAAAGACATTGACAATGAGTGATTTGATCGATTTTCATACATGTTTTTAAAAACATAGGGATAAACGTTCGCAAGATGCATTTATTCTTAAACACATGACAATATCAAAAGTGGCAAGTTATCGGCCTAGAAAATCCAAATACGTGGAGAGGAATTCAAGTAATAAATATTATATACGTTGTAAGTCAATTAAAAAGAAAAAAAGAGTATGTCAGAACACATTTCTTGCTATACTGGGTATTAAAAGATACCGTGTGGAAGCAATTGCTAAAAGATTTCATAATGAAGGTGTCTTATTAGAGGAGCGTCGTGGGGGAGACCATAAGTCTCATTTATACTCAGTGAGACAGGAAGCAGTAATAGAATTTATTAAAAAATTGAATTGCTCTGAGCCACATTACTGTCGTGGCAGTAGTGACAGATGTTACTTACCCGCCGAACTAAGTATTAACAAATTATTCAAAATATATAACAATAGCCAGGCAGACAGTTTTTTGAAGGTAAAAAGAAGCTATTTTAGAAACATATTTAATACAAAATTTAACTTAGGATTGGGCTGGGCTCACCTCAAACGTATGCTCTGTATGTTTACAATATACAGAAAAAATCAAAACAAGTGTTGACGAGAAAGTGAAAACAGATCTAATGATTCAAAAACGAATTCATACAAAAAGGGCCAAAGCTTTTTATAATTACTTGAAGGATCAAGCACCAAACGTTTCGATTATATCTTTTGATTGTCAAAAAAATATGCCGCTCTCCCAAAAATTCCAGATCAAAGCACATATTATTCGCGACAATTTTACGTTTATAACTTCACTATTGTTACTGGGCCATCAAACACAAAATTAAATGAAAATAATACTTTTAGTTACATCAGGACGGAAGATACTTACGCCAAAGATTCTAACTTAATAGCTTCTGCAGTATTTCACCGATTAAACAATACATAATTTTCACAACAAATAGATACAATCAGATTAATGGCCGATGGGTGTGCTGGTCAAAATTAAAATTTCGCTGTAATTGGAATGTGTCAGAAATGGATGACCACAGCACCCATACATATTAAGAAAATGGGAATAATCTTTCCTATAGTGGGACACTCATTTCTGCCTCCCGACCGCGTTTTTGGCAGAACAGAAAAAGAATTTCGAAAACGAGACACAATATTGGAACCTTGTGAGTATATAATAAATATAATAAAAGAAAATGCTACTATAATTAAACTCGGAAAAGATTGTCTCGTCCAAGATTGGTAGGAAGCTGTTAAGAAGATCATAAAAACACCCGGTCAGTGGCATATCCCTTTTATGAAATGCAAACGATTCATTATAAAGTGATCTAAGTTGTCTTTTGAAAATACAGTAATTAAGGGCGAAATAAATTATATGATTGACACGGGAGTTTTCAGAAGTGTTTGTAAAAAAAATAAAAGAACATCCGAAATTGATGTTCAAAATATGCAAACTATGGGAATCATAAAATCAGCAAAAGTCAAAGATGTCAATAAACTATTAACATCTCATTTTGGTGATTCCTGGAGAACATTTCCAATTTTATGCTTTTATGACAAATTAATACCACAAAATGTAGAAGCAGATGTTGATCAACAAGAAGATGAAGAAAATATCTGCGAAGAAAATGTTGACCTACCTGATGTTCGAATTAATTTTTTTTTAAATAAAGCCATAATTAATTGTCTTCATATTATTTTTGGTCACACATTCCGTATTCACTTCATATAATATTTATATGATATTTCACTAATAAGAATATATTTTCTAGGTGCACTTTATGCATAATCTTATCGTTGGCATGCATTTTTCACAACATATCAATTTGTGTAGTCGTACTATAGCCTAAAAGTAGCATTATCAAAGTCAGCAAATTCAAAAATAGCAATGTCCATATGAATGATTCAAAAACCGCAAAGTCCATTATGTTTTCGTATTTTTTCAGTTTTAGAGCTACTGTTGTGTATATTAACAATAATTGAGAGTGGATCATTCATTATTCGATTCATAATATGTTAAAATTAAACTCGTAATGTTAAGTTTTAGGGGAAAAAAAGGTTAAACCAATATTTTACTAATTCGTCAACATCGGACTTTGTTGTTTTTGAAACTATTCCCCTCATATGTTTGTGTGTGTGTGTGTGTGTGGTGTGTGTGTGTGTGTGTGTGTGTGTGTGTGTGTGTGCGCGTGCCTGACGCGGTGCGCGTGTGAGTGCGCGTGTGAATGCGCGTGTGAGTGTGCGTGTGATTCGTGTGGTGTGCTTAGTGAGTTAGTTGCGTGTGCTGTGCGTGTGCGTGTGAGGCGCCGTCGTTGTGTGTGTGTGTGTTAATGTTATATTAAAGGTTTACATGATATTTTGTATTTAAATAATGTGTCACTTTTCAAGTATATTTAGATTATATCTAGGTGTAGGTAGGTTTAACTAGGTAGATACAACAGTAGATACACAGTATTACAAGCCTAGTCTACTGCTACTATGTTCTAGTTTAGACAATAAAATATTACTCACTTCATTATCAAATCGTCAGTCCTAGTGTAGGAACTTGTTGAAGGCTCCATAAGATGTCTCCAGGTCGAACACCAACTGGCGAACTTGACTCTCAGACAGTTCATCCGATGCTGACATCTCCGACAGTTTGTCTAACCATTCTTGTACCTAGAAACGTAAACAACTAAATATGAGTATAGTATATATATTTATATATATATATATTTATATAATATACATAATATATCATAACAAACAATTCTCTTTAAAAGCATATTCTATTCACATATCAGTATAATTATTTTTGTTTGTTTATTTGTTTTTTTATTGTCGTAGCAGTATACGTTAAAGTACACAGGACGTAAGATACTAACAACGTCATCAACAAACAGAATGTCCGTACCTCTTTTTGAAAAGCATATTCTATTCTTTACTTCAATATTTTGGCAGTATAATAAGGCGAGCGGTGGTCCAGAACACAGGACGTAAGATACTAACAACGTCATCAACAAACAGAATGTCCGTACCTCTTTTTTGAAAAGCATATTCTATTCTTTACTTTAATATTTTGGCAGTATAATTATTTTTGTTTGTTTATTTGTTTTTTTATTGTTTTGTCGTTTGTTAGGGGCGGTGGTACGTTGGAGTAGGTTAGTGAAGGCGTTTTGAAGAAAGTGACGACAGGACGTAAGATATCTAACTCTTGATTTTGAACCGCCGGAGACGCATATCTACAGTCGTACATATGTACAGAAGTTTGATATTGATACGATGATATGTTTTAATTTCGAATTTTCAATAAATGATAAAATATGTTCATATTTCTAGTATGACTGCGCGGAAACTATAAGTGATACCGTTTTTGTATGATGATAACAAATTTATGAAGGATCATTTCATATCTGCATACTTTTCATGTATAGTGTACGGTTTCCTTTAGAACCCGCTTCTAAAGGAGGATGACGCTCACCCGAGAGGGGGAAGGAGAATGGATAAAATTAACCTTTTCTCTATAACTTACATATGCGGATAGATAAAAGTAGTCGATTTATTTTGTGAATTTTTTAGCTAAAATTATTAAACTATATTAGCGTGGTATCATACCATAGCGCGGCTCAGATGCGTGTTATACGTGGGTGAAACTGCAGGGCACAGCTAGTATACATATATATAAGTGAAATGCCACTGACTCACTCACTCCATACGAGATCTTCAAAACTATACGCCCAATTGTTTTCAAATTTGGCTTATATACTCCTTTCTCGACATAGATACCTACAAGTAAGCCACCTAAATCATATATTTTACAGCTTGTACATAAATAGATTAAATGAATATATAAAGTATATTTTGTAGCTTTTATCTTCCAGTTAATAAACATCTGTTTACATTAAATATCATAGATAGTCCTCTATACTGTTTGGGGCTAGAAAAATCTGTAGCCAACATTCTACTCGACTGTCCAGCGGTTTTAAATAGACTAAGGGTGACAAACAAGCACACAGTCCACCTAATGGTAAGTGGATGCTGTGGCCCATAGACATCTGCATTTATCCTCGATTATGAATCAAAATGCAGATGCGTTATCACCCGTGAGGACTAAGACGTAAGCTAGGTGTCAGATTTGCAGCTAAGTACCTTGGATCACCGAGGTCGCTCCATCAAGAACTTATTAAGGTTTTTACCGTGCTGTGGCAGTGTCAGAATATCCACTGCCCCATGTGAGTGTCATAAGAGGAAACAAACCAGACGATAGGCGGCTGCATCTTTCTAATTACAACTATCTAAGCTAATATGCCCCTATGAGGCAATCTATAGGAAGGCCTATGTACAGCTGTCGACTTTTATAGGCTGTAATGGTGAGGTTACGCGAGGAGCTCAGGTGCCTCAAATAGTTTATAATTACTGCCCACACAAAAAACTATTACCAGCCCGGCACTATCAATCAATCGTTTTTTTATAGAATAAGGGTGATACATAAGCACACAGTCCACCTGATGGTATGTAGATGATGTGCCCCATAAACATCTACATTTATCCTCGATTAAGAATCAAAACACTGATGCGTTGTCACCCCTGACGACTAAGATGGAATGCCTCGTTTCGAGTAAAAATCTCACTCAACACTCACCATTCGATACACAGCAGTATTAAGCTGGTGTTCTGAGGGTTTGGTCTTTCCCCAGTCAAGCCGATCCATTCCTGATACAACCATAATATAGCTGCAGAATGGCTCTACCACATATAAAAATATACTTCTCAAGAAATAATTCTGTATGCAGCGGTCAAACTCCACAGAGACTAGCCATCTGCGCAGGACAGGATATTAGTGTACAAGTGTGTGCGCAAGCACAGTTGTGTATAGTATATATAGGTAAGGAGAAAGCGAGACAGAGGTAGAGAAAGAGATGCGTAAAATACTTAATGTTAGTTTTTTATGTGGTAGAGTCAGGCTGCAGTATATTATAATGGCTACAGCATGAATGGATCACCTCGATCGGGAAAGAACCATGTTTTCATAGTTTACCAGTGTGAAATAGCAACATAATGCTGCTGTTTTGAATAGTTAGTAACAGGAACTAGTTCTTACTAATCTTACTGTTCCAACTGTTCGTACTGATACTATACAAGTTGAAAATGTCAATAAAAGTATACAATGGGGAAGAATGGTTTTCTAATGGCAGCCTTTTACTGACAAGTTTAGTGTACGTTGACTACCCACTAGATAAAGAGAGCAGAGAGTCTCTTCTCTCTCATTTCTTTTTAGTTGTGCTAGAGCTTTTATTAGAGTTATCCTGCAGAAGCATGGATGAGTCGACTCGACCGGGGAAGACCACATTCTCACTGAATCGCTGACCTTTTTACTGAAGGTATTCCACCTTAGCCCTCAACGGAGGCAACACATTCTTTTTTTTTTCGATTTTCGATTCGTAATTGAAGATATTGTCTATGTGCCACAGCATTCACTTACCATCATGTGAATGGCATGTTCGTTTGTCACATATAATTATTTTTTTAAAAATTGCCTTACAAACGGAAAGCTTAACCAAATCAATATCTCACCTTAACTTTACCCTCAAAGTCCTCTGGCAGCATGCTGAGATGGTCCATTGTATCCTTCAAGTCCCTCAGCTCTGGCTGAATCATGTCCATAGCTCGGAGTTCCAGACGAAGTTTATCCATCAATGTGATGAACAGCTGTTGTTGGATGATACATGAGACAGTAAATTATAAAGTTTTTAAAAATATATATTAAAACAAAAAAAAACTAGTATAGCATTAATCAAAGTTGCTTCAGTCCTCTAAGAAATGAGAATGAACGCTCTGTTCAGCAGTGGGACATATATAGGCTGTAACTTTTAAATTACTTTTTTAATTACGTCTGTGTATACACTTATCTGTCGGTGTCATTTCAAATTATTCAATGAATTTTGATACGGTTTTGTGAGTTTCTTAAAAGAATACTTAGTGACATGCCCAGAATACACTTTTTACAGGAAACACAGCCAACAATCTATGTCCTCAGGGTTTTGAGTCTTAATCCTGAATAATAAAAAAGTCAATGTCCCATAGACCAAATTTCGGTCAACGCAGTCACTTTAAATGGAGAATAGCCATCCATGCAGAACAACATAATAAATAGTTCATGAGTGTATGCAAAAGCAGCTGCACTTTTTATTACCTCACTCTCATATTCCAATGATTCCTCACACTTCTCATTAATAACGCAACTATATTGACTCAACCCTGATTCGAACCTGACACCACATGGTTAAGAGTCGCACTAACGACGACTAGACCAAGGAGGCAGTGGTATCAACTTGCCATCAGGTGGTCTGTGTGCTAATTGTCACCCTTACTGCTGTAAAAGTAAATCTTGTGGCTTCTGACAGATGACAATTTAATAATCTCGTATTTTTATCACATTTCTATATGTGGTAGAGCCACGCTTCAGCTATATTATGGTTGTAGCATGAATGGGTCCGCTCGACCGGGGAAGGACCATGCTCTCACAGAATACCAGCATAAAAGGGTAGATTAATGCTGATGTGTTTCGTATGGTGAGTGTAGAGAACTGGAGACCCTTTTTACTGGAAATGAGGCATTCCACCTTAGTCCTGACAACGCATCTGCATTTTGACTTGTAATAGTGGATATATGTAGATGTCTATGGGCCATAGCAACCACTTACCATCAGGTGGACTGTGTGCTCGTTTGTCACCCTATCCTATAAAAAAAACATGGCAAAACATCCAGATCACAGATGAGTAACAAAGTTAGAAGTGCAAGATGTCTGATACTGTGACCACCAACCTCCATGAAGTGTGGCTGACAAATCCTTCCTGCTATTACAGATGTCCAGCAGAAGACTATTACGGGGTGTAGTGAGTTACACATGGACTTCCCCCATAGATTGCCTCATAGGGTATATATGCCATAGTTGCCATGCTTGACAAGTGTGTTGGCAACAGCAGTTTTTATTTTTCTGTTATGAGAACATACTTCTGCATTTCCTGATACACTTTCTCTATTTCGCCTCTTACGACACCCACGGAATGATATGGGGTGGTGAATATTGTTAAACTGCCACTATATGGTAAGATTTATGATTAAATCAATTTAGCCATTTTATCTGCAAACTGTTGGGCTTTTATCAAAATAAAAATAAAACACTACACTTACAGAAACAATCTCTGCTATATACTTGTTGGTGTTTCCTTTGTCATCTTTGATTAGGTTTGGTTTATTTTCTCGTATCCTTTCTAAGGCAGCTGGACAGTCCAACTGCAAATTAAAATGGTTTATTAAACAAACTTACTATTGAAACTTAATGTTGAAGTGAATGTTAATAGATGAAGTAGAATATTTTATATTTTCATGATTATTTTTTTATCTATTTTTTTTCGACCAACAAGGATGATATGGTAATATTAAGTTCATTCAAGTTAATCATAATATTAAAATTTTAAATTATTACTAAAATTAATATATTTAACATATTCGTTAAATGGGTGTTTTTGAAATGCTCCCGAAAACGAAGCTAGACGATAGTACTAAGGATACCTTTGTTGATGGGACAAAAACAAAATCCTTTCCGATGAAAAAAAAAACATTTTTTACGTTTAATTAGCCTTATTCACGCTAAATGAAACAATAATTTCTTAAAAAAATCATTAAAAACCTAAACATAAAACCAGCAATGAAACTCAAAACCTTTTGACCAAAGTGCTTAACAGCCTTTTGTCCGGTGTGAATAAGACGCACGTATATAACCAGTTGGGTCATGCCTGTCCTCATGTATACCTTTAGCATACTGGATTTTGCATGATTTGGCATGGTGGTCTCAGACTGAACTTAACGCCCTGGATAGAAAAGTCCGCACTACCATGATGTCCTACAGAGTGCATCATCCGAGATCGTGGGTAATCGGAGGCTGTACTTGCCGCGAAAACATGGTGGGCGTGGCTTTTTGAGTCACTTAGGCATTTCATCTTTGGTTGTTCGACGCTTTCTAACTCTACGTACTTAAACAGGCACAATATAGTAGCCAGAATTCTTCACCAGGAGCTCGCTATGAAATACGGTCTCGTGGACTGGAAAGTGCCATATTGCAAGTACTTGCCGGAAACCGCGCTCGAAAATGATCGCGCCACTGGATCGAGCTATCATCACAGACAGGATATGATAGACTATTCTTGCGAATAAGCCCGATATTGTGCTGATGGACCAGGGCACAGTCAAGGATATTTTTGGTCAACATTAACATTTCGTATGACGAGAATCTCGTGAAAGCCGAAACAGATAAGCCAAAATATCTGAACCTGGCTCAAGAGGTGACCGACAAGTGGGGTGATCCGCCAACCGAAATTATTCCTGTAGTCATTCTGCAAACGAGTTTATCCCAGTGAGCCTCTCGGGTCATCTGAGGCGGCTGGGACTCCATGACATACATTTATAGAACCCAACCAGATGAGAAAACTATATAGATACCCCAAATAATAATAATAAATCTTTTTTTTTACAAACCATAAAGTTCATAATTTGTTAGACATACAAAGAAAGAATATGAGTAAGATAGATATTAAGAAATATGAATTTATGCAGGAGTTGAAATTAAAAACACATAATTCCTTAAGAAACTTGCAATAAATTCCAAAGTCCAACATTTAGTAATAAGTCAAAGATTTACAAAACCGTTACAAAATGCTAAAAAAGCTTTAAATTTTTTTTTGTTATAGGAATAGCTTGGCATGATTCCTAAGATTTATTTACGGGTAAAATTTAATTTGTTCTTGCCAATTCTATAAACCTGCAAAAAATTAGGTACTTAGTGATTTCTTTAATTGTGTAATTTTAAGTCTATACCTCCACTAGGAGAGCTGAAATTAATGTAATTTCATGTTAAAAATATTTACTTTATATAAACTTACACGAAATTTCGTAACGAAAGATTCTATTGTTGGGAACTCATCACCCTGAACCTGTTTGAAGGCAACTCGGTACTGAACCAGCAGTCTACTGCATGCCGCCATGTATTCCTGGGCTCGTACGCAGTCCCGCATGTACGCTTTCTCTAAGTGTTGTAATGTGCTGACCACTGCATACAGCTCTGCCATGTTGTCATGCCTAAAAAATCACACTACCATTTGGCTTTGTGGTACCAATGATCCAAAAGCAATTCCGTTTAGGCCTAATATATATATGTATAACAAAATTCCTCATAATTTATGATTAAATTTAAATAGACAAACTTTTCCATTGTTTTTTTTTTTTTTTTTAAAATATGCGCAGATTAAAGAAAATAGTATTTTTACTACTCACTTTTCCCGTTCTCTAGCATTTCTATAAAGTTTGACCTCTTCATAGAGTTCTGGTCTTGTGTCTGCAACAAATTTTCAAATAATAGGGTAGGCGCACCAATAACAAACCAAGCACCATTTTGAAACAAATTTTGATGATGTGACTCGATTAAAGCAACAATCATCGCAAAAAAATCATCTATCCTTATCTACCATGCAATCATGTGGCTTATTCCGATTTTCTTAATAGCTACTTAGTTTATTTTATTTAAAAATGAATGTGGCAAGTAGCAATGCACAAGGTTGATCAGATTGTACCAGTAAACCTGTAAGGTGGATCAGATTGTACCAACCAGACATTGTGCCAATAGTGAACCAGTATAAAATAGCAAATTCTTTTAATGAAAAATAAATTTATTATTTATATTCATGAACTTAATTAAGTTTAGTAATCAGTAACCATCACAACTTTAAAACATTGATGTAATCATTAATGCTACAAGGCTCATAATGTTGTTTTGTTTTTCAGATTCATTTTATTTATGACAGTTGTTAGGAGAATATTATATTTTCGGCATGATTTTCTAACTTTCGTGTCTTTACCTATCTCATTTATAACTTCCATAATATCTTATATTTGAAAACAGTTCTTTTCAGTGGCATTGTGTCCATAGAAAAAGTGTAGGTGGTCAATTACTGGAACAAACTTGCAGTATAGATATTACCAATAATAAACCACTGGTCAATAACTGGAACATTGTGAATTTTTGAAGAATTTACTAAAAAAATTATTGAAGTATTCTTTATGATTATAAATGTAATAAACTACTCAAAACAAAATAGGGCCCACCATGTTTTATAAATGAATTTTATAAATTCTTTTTCTTTTTTAAGTTTTTATGGTTAGGAATGAATAAATTAAGGTTTTTGAAAGTGTGTGAACATTAACAAGAGTAAGTTTTGCCAATTTTATGGAATTTAGTCAAAATTTACAGTTTTTAGGAAAGTTTACAGAAATTATTGATTTAAGTAAAATTTGATTTTGATTTTTATTATTAACTAAATCAATAAGTGTGATGTTGCTTAATAGCGAGTAGGTCTTCCTCTGTTCCGTATGCACTCTCTGAATGTATCTGGGACACTTTCAATCAAGTGGGTGATGTTTTCCTCGTGTATTCGCTCCCAACACAAGCGTTTATGAGCTCTTGTCGATTAGTCACATTACTGAAGTTCGATTTGCGGCTTCTTTTCAATTGGTCTCATAAATGTTCAATGGGGTTAAGGTTGGGACTAATGGCCGGCCACGGTAAAACCGTAATATTGGCTTCAGAGAGAGCTCTCTGGGTTGTTCGTGCTGTATGTGGGTGAGCATTGTGTTGCATAAAGACGAAGTTTTCTCCCACTCTTTGTGAAAATGGGATGACATGGAGTCGAATTATTCGATCGACATACCGGGAGGCAATTATGGAGCCTTCTTTCAGAATTATCAGTTCAGTTTTACTGAGCAAGCTTATTCTAGCTCACACCATAACATTTGGACCTCCAAAACAATCCGTTTCATGTATGCAAAGTTCTGAAAAACGTTCTTCTCTTCTCCACACGCGCACTCGGCGATCATCGCTGAAAAACTTCACTTTACATTAGTCCGTAAAGAGTACATTGCCCCAGTTGGCCATTGTCCACTCCGCATGCTCGCGAGCAAACTTCAAACGTGCTGCATGATGCGCTCTTGTCAATTTTAGAGGAATAACACGAGATCTCGAATTTTGTTCGTCTTCATGAAGCCAATGTTTAATCCATTCGAGTGCCAGTCGATTGCCGCAGTCGATTTTGTAGGACGCGGGCGGGAATTGTACGCTCTCAGAGTGGGCCCTATTTTGTTTTGAGTAATTTAGAAATAATAAAAAATGTATTAAAAAGCTTTGATCAAATGGAATATTACTGGAAAATCATGGAATTTGTGTTCATCATCGATTTAAATTAGCATTTGCTGATAAGATAAGATGTAATATTATTTTTGTGTTCATTTTGTCAGGGGGTTTTCATGCTGGTCTACCTTTCCGGTGATCCTGTTATGGAATACGGGTATGCGACCCCGGCTCCCCGAGCTACTGTTATTCTCATACCTTTCCTGCCGAGAAACAGTATCCTTACACCTACCTCCTACCCCCAACCTTCTTTGTCCTTTTCCCAAAATGGTAGCTTCCTCTACCAACAATAGCATACCCAAAGAGGGTTGGTGTCAGGCAGGCGGCCGACTGTAAAACTTTTGCCAAATCCCATGCAGTAAACCTATGAATAGTACGAGTTGTGGGATATATGACAGGGCTAGGGCGTACCCCGCAGGCGACGCGCAGGGGCAGCACCCGGCTCCTGTGGGAAGTGGGCAAGGGTTGTCGCACCTTACGGAGCGGGTGCGACGTAAGAAGCGAGCCCGGAGAGTGAAGAATGTCAGAGTGAGGTTTGCAAGCTGGAATGTAGGTACGATGACTGGAAGAGGAAGAGAGTTAGCAGATGTTGATTCAGACGACGAAGAGTGAATGTTGCCTGTTTGCAGGAAACAAAATGGAAGGGCAATAAAGCAAGAGAGATTGGGGAAGGATACAAGTTTTATTATTGTGGAAGTGATGGGAAGCGAAATGGAGTAGGAGTTGTGTTAGATAGTGAAATGAAAGACCGAGTGACAGATGTGAAAAGAGTAAATGATAGAATGATAGTTGTTAAATTAATGATTGAAAACAAAGTAGTGAATGTTGTAAGTGTGTATGCTCCGCAAACAGGCTGTGAAGAGAGTGTGAAAGAGAAGTTTTGGGAGGAATTTGATTGTATGATGATGGGAATACCTGAAAGTGAGGATGTTTATATGGGAGATTTTAATGGACATGTAGGGAGAGTGAATGATGGGTATGAAAGAGTACACGGTGGATGGGGGGTATGGTGCGGAACCGTAGGGGGAAGTTCTTCTGCAAGCAGCAAGTGCTTTCGACCTGGATGTAGTAAACATGTGGTTCCAAAAACGAGAATCAGCATCTTGTTACTTATAAAAGTGGCCACCACGCGACACAGATCGACTATTTTCTGATAAGACGGAACCAAATCAAGAGTGTAAAAAACTGCAAAGTGCTTCCAGGTGAAGACTTAGTATCCCAGCACCGAATTCTGCTGGCTGACATCTGCTTAACTGTTCGCCTCAACAAACATAAGGATCGTCCCCCACCCAAAATAAAGTGGCATTTGTTGCATAAGGAGTATGCAAGTGAATTTAGAGAGCTAGTTGTAAACAAGATGATAGAGATGGGTGATATGGAAGGAATGAGTGTGAATGAGTGCTGGAAGGAAATGGCTGATTGTATCCGAAGTGTGGCAAGGAAGGTGTTAGGAGAAACAAAAGGGAAGCGTATGATAGATAAGGATGGGTGGTGGTGGAGTGAAAGTATTAGAGAAGTTTTGAGAGAAAAGAAAAATGCCTTTAAAGAATGGCAGAGCGTAGAAGACCAGAATGAATCCATAAAAGAAAGTAAGAGAGGGGCGTATAAAGAATGTAAGAAGAGAGCGAAGAAGAAAGTTGCTATTTGTAGGGCAGAGGCGCAAGATAAATTATATCAGTCCCTTGAAAACCCCGAAGGTCAAAAACGACTTTTTCAAATTGCAAGAGCGAGAGAAAGGAATGGAAGAGATGTTTCACATGTAAAATGTATAAAAGATGATTCTGGAAGGATTTTGACTGACTATGAAAGTATAAAGAAGCGATGGAAGGAGTATTTTGAGAAATTGATTAATGATGAGAATGAATGGAATGGTATGCTTGAAAACCCACCAGTGAATATGGGCTTAGTGAGAGAAATTAGTGTGGAAGAAGTAAAAATGGCTGTTAGGAATATGAAGAATGGGAAGGCGGTCAGCCCAGATGGAATACCAGTAGAAGTGTGGAAGTTGCTGAGTGCGGATGGATGGAAGTGGTTGAGTTTATTTTTCGGTAAATTATATTTAGAATAAAGTATATTTACAAGGATGGATAAGATAAGGAATGAGTATATAAGAGGAAGCCTGAAAGTAGCGCCAGTGGTAGAAAAGGTGAGAGGAAGCAGATTGGCATGGTTTGGGCATGTGATGCCCTCCGCACGATGAAAGTCATGTCACAAAACGAGTGTTGAATATGAATGTGGAGGGACACACGGGCAGAGGAAGGCCGAATAAAAGATGGATCGATTGTGTGAAGAGTGATATGAGAATGAAAGGAGTAAGTATGGAAATGACGGCTGATAGAGAGGAATGGAACAAGAAGATTTACTGCGCCGACCCCAGATAATGGGAAATGGTCTAGAGAATGATGATGATTATTGTTGTGTTATTATATTATGCAGTTAACTCAAAAATATGTTAGAATAATTAATATAAACAAAGAATTAATAGGGTTAATACCATTTTACCATTATAGGCTTACATAAAATGAACAATTGTCATTACTGATTATGTGTACTTTACTGATGTAAATGGCCCGTTTATCACTTTTAGTTATGATTACATGATTGGTAGAAGCACAGCAAGGCTACCAAACGTAGTAAAAAAAATATGTGAAATTCAAAAGGTTAATATTTAGGTTTGAAAATTAAAATGGTCTACTACTGATTCCTGTTGTGGGACTGGAGCAATCACCCTAGTTTATCAAAGAAACTACAAAAAGCAATAATATAATTATCATAATAACAGCCCATCCATCCATCCATCAATAGTTTATTGTGGTGAACATTTGCCTTCCATAGGCATCATTAGGGCGATATTTGCCATAGTTGCCAAAGTTGACAAGTGGATTAGCAATTGCAGTTTATTTATTGGTTGATTTGTTTAAGTTTTTATCAAGAAGATCCTGCTACCATCTCCTAGTATAATTTATGCCTCCTATTGCATACGCGGGATGAAATTGCATATTGTATCCTATTACGCTGCAACTACACAAACACAAAAAACGATGTAACAATGAAAAAATTTAAATCTCACCTTGCATTATTAAACCATACAAGTAATTTAATTTTATCGGCAGTTAATTTACGTTTTGATATTGATTGTTTTATTTAGGTTCGAGCAGATTAGCTGTCTCGAACAAAGATTTTATTTATTTTATTTTACAAACCACAAGTGAAGTACAAGCTCAATCACTCTCCCACTCCCACAGACTACTAAGGGGATACTACGCATCAGTGTTGCCAGATGTCTTGAACCTTTTATCTGTATTAGACACTGCTAAAATCTGTATTAAATCTGTATGCTACTTAAACTTAAAATCTGTATAATTTGATATACCAAAATAGAATAATTGATCATCATCATCATCATTGCATTTTTTGAAAAACAAGGAATAACTACTAACGTGATAAGCAGATAAGGTTTGATTATCATTGTCAAATAAAAATATTTTTTAAAGAATAAGTGTGACAAACGAGCACACAGTCCACCGATGGTAAGTGGATGCTGTGGCCCATAGACATCTACATTTATCCTCGCTTAAGAATTAAAACGCTGATACGTTGTCACGCCTGAGGACCAAGAGGGGATGCCTCATTTTCAGTAAAAAAGGGTCTCCGGATTTCTACTTTCACCATACAAAACACAGCAGTATTAAGCTGGTATTTTACGCTGGTATTCTGTGAGAGCGTGGTCCTTCCCCGGTCGAGCGTCAGCTATTATGTTTGCAGTGCAACCATAATATAGCTGCAACGTGGCTCTACTACGTATAAAATGTACACTATACACATTTTTTATATAGCAAAATTGAAAACATTAATTTAAGCAAACAACATATTAAAACTCAAACATTTGCCAAATGAACATATAAATACTTTATTATTTTCAGTCATACATATTTTATACACAGGGCGTTAGTGTAAACACCGTTATACTTGAAACCAGTGGTTTGGTTTCACTTATAAAACGTAAATTCAATGAAAAATAACAAAATTTTTTTAGTAAAATCTCAATTCTTCCTTAATTCCTCAATTTTGCCTGACCTAAGCCAGGGTGAAAGTATGAAGGGAAAGTTATATCACTGGTTATGTGTACCTATTGTGTTTTTATTAGAATATAGTGTAGGTAGCTAGCGCGGGCGGTGATTCTTTACAGTGATTACGTCACCCGGGCGCAAAGGGTATCCATGAATTTACGGACGGTTTCGGACAGAAACCTCTTAAATTTTATGAAAGAAAATAGGGTTTTTTTTAGAATTCGGATAAATATTTTTATATTAAAGCCAACTACCTATGGTTTTAGTGACAACGGTGTTCACACTTACACCTTGTATACATATTTTGTAATACACTTGTAATTCTGCCATAACTAATTACGTTGTGAAAAAATAAATCAACCATAAAGAATAGAATCATGAATGTGTGTAACGCGGTATCTAGTCACTTATTTTGCTTCATTCTATTTTAAGTTGAATATTATGGTAATCCAATCAATAGAGTTAGAAAACTCTGTATAAAAATCTGTACCCAGTGCTAATCTGTATCACACACCGAAAATCTGTATAAATACGGGGAAATCTGTATATATGGCAACACTGCTACGCATCCCACTCCCACTCCCTTGTGACAGATAACAGATTGACAGTAGCACAATAGGGATGTCCGAAATCGATGTTAAAAATTAAAACATCGATGTTTTGAAACATTATTATTACGGTGTGTAAAACCATCACACATCACTGTCAAGTATGAACTGTAATGTCACAGTTGTCACTGCATTCGCTTCGGTATTCTGTGTAGTCGTTGTCGATTGTCGTCTATAAATTTTATGATTTTCTTTTTAATATTTTTTTTTATAATAACTATTCTAAATAAATTGATATTCAAATTAATTGTTTTTCCCCTGCTCACATAGTTTTGAAACAATATGTATCTACACAATTCAGTTATTTTACATATATTATATTGTATAATTCAGTTATATTATATATATTATATAACTGTTTTTTGAGCTTGGGGTAACGAGTTTATTGTTTGTTTGAAGTTTATGAAAAGAAACCACTGGGAGATCGTGAGCATAGAAAATTTCACTGCATAGTGCATTCGATTATTCATATTATAAACGGCTGTGGATACTTACTGTCAGTGGCGAAGCCTCTATAGAAGACGAAAAGCCAGGCTTGCCTTTTCAATCTGCTCATTCAATAATATCAACTAATAAAATAACTCGGAAACTGTTTCAAACTATTTAAAATTTCCGCGCTCCTCTTTTCTAGGCAGGGCATGACCTCGTAGCATATAATATGTAACGTCAACACTTGGCAGTTTCCTTTCAATTCGAAATACACTGGACTGTCAAAATTAATAAAAGCAAGGAGTTGATTTTGTCGTCTCTCTCGCACGTGTTGGCTTTTTCCCGGGCTTTTCGAGAAGACGATCACTCCCTTTAAAACCTGTGATGAAATGTTCTCCAATGATATATAACTACGAAATGTTTATATAGCAATTACTCTGGAACCAAAAGCTGGGCTTTGCTCTGAAGTTGTTTAAGAGTGCGTTAGCGAGATTGGGCGTGCGGGCGATACGTTTGCAAGTTCACTTCACATTTCAATGTTTATGTTTGTTTTTGTTGTGTCTGTTGAAAATTTATGCTTTTTCAAAGATTTTTAGTAAAATGGAAGATAATAGTGTTCCTTTTGATGAATTGAAATGTGTTAAAGTGCTAATCGGCAAAGAAAAGGTAAAATCTTTAAAAATGAAATTTTAATTCTATAAACAGCTTCATAGGTACAGGACTCTTTAGTATTAAAGTTTAATTAAGCTAGGCATATTTAAAGGTGGTTAAAACTACTTTTAGATAGATTTTATTTTGATTCCCGACGTTTCGGGCGCTTTCCAGCACCCATGGTCATCTCAGTCCCCCGTGACCGTAAACCCCAAACGCGATCAAAATAAAAGTAAATAAAAAGTAAAAATAAACGCGATAAAATCCGTAAAAGTAGTTTTAATCATGTATAGTATTCGCGTAAATATAAGAAATCATCATATTTAAAGGTTTAATAATTCAATACTTTATATAATATATGAATTAAAAATGTCATTTTGAACGGCAGGATTAAATATGAGCTACCTAGGTATAAGTTTGATTTTATAGCAAATAATTGTTACAATCTTTTTTTTATGTGAAGCCTAAATTTTAATGTAATAAATCAAAAGAGTACATGTATTGTGGTTTTTAAAGAATATTTAATAATACTTTTTGTAATTTTGAACATGGTTTGCTTGTACTTTGTTCATGCTTTTCTTTTATTTATGTATTGTATTGTATGTAAATATCTTTTTCTTTCGCTCAAGCAAACCCAAACGGCTCTTTTCAAAGCCACCGAAAGTATGCAATTACATATGTCATACAATCTATTTAACGGTAGTATGCCTACTGTGTGCTTTGTTAAACACGTCCTTGACGGCACTAAATATGAAACTAAAGAGTGTCTCCACTCTTTTCGATCAAGATTGGTTTATTTTTATAAAACTGCTAAAAACAACAAAACCATATCTTGGGCTTGCCCTAGTTTGGAGCCCTAGTTTCGCCACTGCTAACTGCTTGGGCTGCCTGATTAAAGATTGTGTACAAAGTTAACAGAAAAGTCCATTATTTTGTTTTTGTGAGGTTTGTTAATTTTTCTTTATAATCATATTTTTTCGCGATAGGAGTAGTTGATGAAAAACCTACGTCTAAATCATAAATTATTTCTTATAGTATTTTTTTCATACTGGATTTGTGAGTGTATAGGAACGGTTAAGATCAAATTAGGAATATTTATCATCATCAAAAAAATATAACAAATGAACTAGGTATTTGATAACATATTTGCATTTTTTATTACTGTTTGACAAAAGACTTTTTATTAATTTCTTTTATTTCATTAATAACCATCTATAAATAACACTACTAATTTTTATTCAGCTAATTTTAACCTATTAAATAGGTAAACATCGAACATCGATGTTAAGCCATCGATAGCAACATCGATGTCATCATCGATGTTTCAGCAACATCGAGCATCCCTAGTACAAGGTCTCAAACTCAAACGTCAAACACCCCATCCCTACCCCCCTGCCCACGTATTATTTTATCTATGGTCAAAATGCGTCATAATCACAGATTAACTAGGGCCGATGCAGATACAAAGATAAAACGAGTAAAAGCGGAGTAAAAGTCTAAAGTCATAACTATCTTTATTTCAACAAAATATTCAATCAAATAGTGGGCCTTTGCAACATGTACAACATTGCGCTGATGTAAATTTGCGAATTGATTAGATATTAAAAGAAAAAAAAAATCAAAATCATATTTTTATTGTTTACAAACCTTGTCTACGTTGAGCTACAAATATTGCCGAAAAAATTATCTTCGGTCGCTCCGCTCCACAGCTCCAATCGTAGACAGAGAACGTAGACAGTAGCGTTCCCTGTCTACGACAGAGAATGTGCAGAGAATATCAACGGCTCCAATAAACTCGGTAGAGCTGCCCAGTGTCCTCAAATATCGGAAGCTATATATATATATATATATATATATATCCAAAATCGGTATATTAGAAAAAATACAATAGTTCAGTAAATGTATTTACTTTTAACATCTTTATTTCACATCACCGTTTTTTAAATGCCAGTATGTACTAGTGTGCGTGGCTAGAGGAATGACTCTGTTATATATTACCGATTAAATAATGCAAAAATTATTGAAATGCATTTTATGGTTCATAAAAGATATGAAGTCCTGAATTTCTTAGTAGTACAGACAGTACCTGTCAATGTCATACTTTATGGGCATGCACTAATTAGGTCAGCCATAAAGTATGACATTGACAGGCACTATCTGTAATACTAAGAAATTCAGGATTTCATAGGCGTGATTTTACTGACAGCTGTCGCAGAGATCAAGCTATCTTTTACGAACTTTATTGTCCGTTCATCGTAACTTGACGCGTAATCCTATTGGCAGCACTGTAATTTACAGTGTTGCATGTTTTAATGTGAA